TGTCAAAGTGGGAAGTCTGAATGTGCGTGGATGTTGTGCAAATGATAAGAAAGAGATGATTGTGGATGTTATGAATGAGAAGAAACTGGATGTCCTGGCTTTAAGTGAAACAAAGCTGAAGGGGGTGGGAGAGTTTCAATGGAGAGGAATAAATGGGATTAGGTCAGGGGTTTCAAATAGAGTTAGAGCTAAAGAAGGAGTAGAAATAATGTTGAAGGATAAGCTATGGCAGGAAAGAGGGACTACAAATGTATAAATTCAAGGATTATGTGGAGTAAAATAAAGATTGGATGTGAAAAGTGGGTTATAGTAAGCGTGTATGCACCTGGAGAAGAGAGAAGTGTAGAGGAGAGAGAGAGAGATTCTGGGAAATGTTGAGTGAATGCGTGGGGAGTTTTTGAATCAAGTGTGAGAGTAATGGTGGTTGGGGATTTCAATGCTAAAGTGGGTAAAAATGTTATGAGGGTAGTAGGTAAATTTGGGGTGCCAGGGGTAAATGTAAATGGGGAGCCTTTAATTGAGCTATGTGTAGAAAGAAATTTGGTAATAAGTAATACATATTTATGAAAAAGAGGATAAATAAAATATACAAGGTATGATGTAGCACGTAATGAAAGTAGTTTGTTAGATTATGTATTGGTGGATAAAAAGTTGATGGGTAGGCTCCAGGATGTACATGTTTATAGAGGGGCAACTGATATATCAGATCATTATTTAGTTGTAGCTACAGTTAGAGTAAGAGGTAGATGGGAAAAGAGGAAGGTGGCAACAACAAGTAAGAGGAGGTGAAAGTGTATAAACTAAGGGAGGAGGAAGTTCGGCGAGATATAAGCGACTATTGGCAGAAAGGTGGGCTAGTGCAAAGATGAGTAGTGGGGGGGTTGAAGAGGGTTGGAATAGTTTTAAAAATGCAGTATTAGAATGTGGGGCAGAAGTTTGTGGTTATAGGAGGGTGGGGGCAGGAGGAAAGAGGAGTGATTGTGGAATGATGAAGTAAAGGGTGTGATAAAAGAGAAAAAGGTAGCTTACGAGAGGTTTTTACAAAGCAGAAGTGTTATAAGAAGAGCAGAGTATATGAGAGTAAAAGAAAGGTGAAGAGAGTGGTGAGAGAGTGCAAAAGGAGAGCAGATGAAAGAGTGGGAGAGGCACTGTCAAGAAATTTTAATGAAAATAAGAAAAAATTTTGGAGTGAGTTAAACAAGTTAAGAAGCCTAGGGAAAGTATGGATTTGTCAGTTAAAAACAGAGTAGGGGAGTTAGTAGATGGGGAGAGGGAGTATTAGGTAGATGGCGAGAATATTTTGAGGAACTTTTAAATGTTGAGGAAGAAAGGGAGGCGGTTATTTCATGCACTGGCCAGGGAGGTATACCATCTTTTAGGAGTGAAGAAGAGCAGAATGTAAGTGTGGTGGAGTACATGAGGCATTACGTAGAATGAAAGGGGTAAAGCAGCTGGAAACTGATGGGATCATGACAGAAATGTTAAAAGGCAGGGGGATATAGTGTTGGAGTGGTTGGTACTTTTGTTTAATAAATGTATGAAAGAGGGAAGGTACCTAGGGATTGGCAGAGAGCATGTATAGTCCCTTTATATAAAGGGAAAGGGGACAAAAGAGATTGTAAAAATTATAGAGGAATAAGTTTACTGAGTATACCAGGAAAAGTATACGGAAGGGTTATAACTGAAAGAATTAGAGGTAAGACAGAATGTAGGATTGCGGATGAGCAGGGAGGCTTCAGAGTGGGTAGGGGATGTGTAGATCAAGTGTTTACATTGAAGCATATATGTGAACAGTATTTAGATAAAGGTAGGGAAGTTTTTATTGCATTTATGGATTTAGAAAAGGCATATGATAGAGTGGATAGAGGAGCAATATGGCAGATGTTGCAAGTATATGGAATAGGTGGTAAGTTACTAAATGCCGTAAAGAGCTTTTATGAGGATAGTGAGGCTCAGGTTAGGGTGTGTAGAAGAGAGGGAGAATACTTCCCGGTAAAAGTAGATCTTAGACAGGGATGTGTAATGTCACCATGGTTGTTTAATATATTTATAGATGGGGTTGTAAAAGAAGTAAATGCTAGGGTTTTTGGGAGAGGGGTGGGATTAAATTATGGGGAATCAAATTAAAAGTGGGAATTGACACAGTTACTTTTTGCTGATGATACTGTGCTTATGGGAGATTCTAAAGAAAAACTGCAAAGGTTAGTGGATGAGTTTGGGAATGTGTGTAAAGGTAGAAAGTTGAAAGTGAACATAGAAAAGAGTAAGGTGATGAGGGTGTCAAATGATTTAGATAAAGAAAAATTGGATATCAAATTGGGAGGAGGAGTATGGAAGAAGTGAATGTTTTCAGATACTTGGGAGTTGACGTGTCGGCGGATGGATTTATGAAGATGAGGTTAATCATAGAATTGATGAGGAAAAAAGGTGAGTGGTGCGTTGAGGTATATGTGGAGTCAAAAAACGTTATCTATGGAGGCAAAGAAGGGAATGTATGAAAGTATAGTAGTACCAACACTCTTATATGGGTGTGAAGCTTGGGTGGTAAATGCAGCAGCGAGGAACGGTTGGAGGCAGTGGAGATGTCCTTTTTAAGGGCAATGTGTGGTGTAAATATTATGCAGAAAATTCGGAGTGTGGAAATTAGGAGAAGGTGTGGAGTTAATAAAAGTATTAGTCAGAGGGCAGAAGAGGGGTTGTTGAGGTGGTTTGGTCATTTAGAGAGAATGGATCAAAGTAGAAATGACATGGAAAGCATATAAATCTATAGGGGAAGGAAGGCGGGGTAGGGGTCATCCTCGAAAGGGTTGGAGAGAGGGGGTAAAGGAAGTTTTGTGGGTAAGGGGCTTGGACTTCCAGCAACCGTGAGTGAGCGTGTTAGATAGGAGTGAATGGAGACGAATGGTACTTGGACCTGACGATCTGTTGGAGTGTGAGCAGGGTAATATTTAGTGAAGGGATTCAGGGAAACCGGTTTATTTTCATATAGTCGACTTGAGTCCTGGAAATGGGAAGTACAATGCCTGCACTTTAAAGGAGGGGTTTGGGATATTGGCAGTTTGGAGGGATATGTTGTGTATCTTTATATGTGTATGCTTCTAGACTGTTGTATTCTGAGCACCTTTGCAAAAACAGTGATAATGTGCGAGTGTGGTGAAAGTGTTGAATGATGATGAAAGTATTTTCTTTTTGGGGATTTTCTTTTTTTTTTTTTTTGGGTCACCCTGCCTCGGGGGAGACGGCCGACTTGTTGAAAAAAAAAAAAAAAAAAATATATATATATAATATATATAAATATATAAATATATATATATATATATATATATATAATATATATATATATATATATATATTTAAAATATATAATATATATTATTATATATAAGGAAACACATTCACCATCATTCAGTCAATCATTGTCTTGCCAGAAGTATGCTGGCATCAATACAGATGAGCCTCTGAGTTACATCATCTGTACCCCTCCTTCAGAGTGAAGGCACAGCACTTCCCACCTCCAGGACTCAAGTCTGGCTAACTGGTGTCCCTGAATCCCTCAGTGAATCTTACCTTGGTCACACTCCAACACCATACCAGGTCACAAATATCATTGTTTATATTAAAATAAAGTAAAATTTAATCACTCTCTTATGCTTTGTTCAACATGGTATGTGGAACTTGTAAAACGATATCTTGTATATGGAAAAATCATATACTGTGTTATTTTGCTTACCTTTATACTACAGTAAGTGTCCAGTACTACTTTTTCATTATTATATTCAGAGGGAAGTGTAAAATCCATAGGGGTCATACAGCACTTGGGAATGAGGGTCACTGAGGTTGATCTATGGAAGGGAAAGACAGGTCCAATTCTTTGCATTAAGAGCCTCTCACTAGGATCAAGGATCATTCCTTGAGGATAATTTTTATTTAAGGTGATGAGGATAACAAAAAATTAGGTGACAAAAGATTGGATATCAGACTGGAGGGAGAGAGTATGGAGGTGAATGTATTCAGATATTTAGGAGTGGATATGTCAGCAGATGGATCTATGAAAGATGAGATGAATCATAGAATTGATGAGGACAAAAAAGGTGAGTGGTGCACTTAGGAGTCTGTGGAGACAAAGAACTTTGTCCATAGGAGCAAAGAGGGGAATGTATGAGAGTATAGTTATACCAATATTCTTATATGGGTGTGAAACATGGGTGGTGAACGTTGCAACAAGGAGAAGGCTGGAGGCAGTGCAGATATCATGTCTGAGGGCAATGTGTGGTGTGAATATAATGCAGAGAATCTGTAGTCTGGAAATTAGGAGGAGGTGCAGGATTACCAAAACTATTATCCAGAGGGCTGATGAGGGGTTGTTGAGGTGGTTTGGACATGTAGAGAGGATGGAACAAAATAGAATGACTTCAAGAGTGTAAAAATCTGTAGTGGAGGGAAGGCAGGGTAGTGGTTGGCCTAGGAAAGGTTGGAGGGAGGAGGTAAAGGAGGTTTTGTGTGCAAGGGGCTTTGACTTCCAGCAAGCATGTGTGAGCATGTTAGATAGGAGAGAATGAAGACAAATGCTTTTTAGGACTTGACATGATGTTGGAGTGTGAGCAAAGTAACATTTATGAAGGAAGTCAGGGAAACCGGCAGGCCAGATTTGAGTCCTGGAGATGGGAAGTACAGTGTCTGCACTCTGAAGGAGGGGTGTTAATGTTGCAGTTTTATAACTGTAGTGTAAGCGTGCCTCTGGCAAGACAGTGATGGAGTGAATGATGATTAAAGTTTTTCTTTTTCGGGCCACCCTGCCTTGGTGGGAGACAGCCACCATGTTAATAAAAGAAAAATAAATATATCTTGTTTGCAGTTTAACAGCCCCTTGGTAGTCACAGTCAATGAAATATTCATTCACATAAAACAGCATTTATCTAAAGACTAAAACAATTTGTGTTATTAATTCTAAATCTAGCTCTTTAGATACACTTACCAAGAAGATAAGAGTTTATACACACCTTCGCTTTAAACTTTCTTGAACACTTGTTGGATTCTAGTCCAGGCGAGGACAGGATCAGACTATGGTAGAATAATGCCTGTATTGTCCCTCCAGTGCTATATATATGCCGGATGTTCGCTACCTTCCTGCTGATACAACTCCAGTTTTGATGTCTTGCCATTTTTTCAGGAATTATTACATAGTAAATTTTGAGATTTTTGCTTCCCTAACTGTAATTGCTTCATAATCTCTGTCATTATTGTGTAGCTATGAGAAAATAATAATATATTCTTAAATTAATAAAGTATTTGCAGTTTTAAGAATGGAGATTTGTGGTTTCATTGGCTAAACAAGTTTAGCAACTGCACATGCAACAGACTCAATGATTGACAGGTACTGTAATTTCATGAATGGGAAAACCCATGATACACTGTTGGCAACACTGAATAAAATTACTTCCTTAGAATCTTTTTCCCTTTAACATAAGACTACCGTGCATTACTCAAAAAAATAATATACATGCACACAATCTCTATAGTTTCATCTTATTACTTATATTTTTGCTCAGACTACATTAGTATCTAGAAGCTGAACAATAATACACCTTTTGCTAAATTCCTGGACTAGTAAAGTCCAGTATTAACTAGACTTTACACAACACAGATCACATATACTATTATTTTATTCATAATTTCTTTTTCTGGCAGTTTTATTTTCTAGGAAGTCCTACTTAACAGCCTGTGTCTAGTTCCCAAATAACATTTAAACCTTATGATTAATTGCACAAAATAAATTGCATAAACAGTGGCTTTCTTTTATGTCTATCACTGCATGTATTATTTCATGTAAACTACATTATTTGTCTGGCATAAAGAAATAAGCATTATTATTATTATTATAGGTGAGGCCAATAAGTGAATGCCTCAGACATGCATATGCCTACCCTCTAGTCTTCTATATAAATATACAGAATAAACATTTAATAGCCCTTCTTTTGAAAAATGAAATGCCCCAGCACGATAGTGACTTTCTTTGTACCTAAAAAATTATATAATGTAATCACACACTATAACCTTTGCAAAGAAATAAATTTTGTATTTGTAATATCTTATTAATTTGCAACTGACAAAACTGCAGTACATTTTAGTCTATTAGGCACATTATCAAATTGCTTTTATGCACAAGGTGCCTAGATACTGATAAAAGGCTTCCAATCCAAATAATTGGAGTTGCTCTCCCATTCCTTGAATCAAACCTAATTACCCCCTCCTATTCTCACAAGTGCTGTATGACCCCTACAGCTTTGTGCTTCCCCATGAATATAACAATGAAATATAAGTATTGTCAAGGCCAGAGAATTAATGCAAATGCTTTTCCATGATGGGAAGTTACATAAATCAAGAAAAATCTGAAGGGTCTGCTGCCATGGATTCTGACAGTAGCCAACTGTAGATATTAAAATATACTACCAACAGCAATGAAAGAGAAGATACTAGTGAAGAACAAGCATTTACTGTGGCAACGTTTCACTCTTATCAACATGATAAAAGAAAGGGAAAAACATTATCACACCAGCAGCATTTCCTAACTAAAAATAAATTGAGAATAGGGTCCAGAATTAGCTTAATATAATTAAAAGTATTGACACTAACCTTAAATTAGCATGCTGATTTCTCAGTAAAATATTCATGTCAAACTAGTGCCTTATTGGTAGTAAAATTATGAGCACATGATCATGAAGTCCAAGATGAGGTCCAGAGGAACATGAAGTGATAGTGGTAGAAAGTGCCTGGGCACATCCCTGGTGTTGTGGCTCTTCACTCTGGCTGCAAGGAAGAACCTGACAGGTGATAGTTGTTACGACTCTCTTTACCTAGGTAGAGAGAAGCCAAGAGCCGACATTAAATCTTGAATCCCATGAGCAATGTGGATTGTCTCGCTCATGAGAAGGAAGTGTAACAGTGGTGAAGGTGACCTCTATTTTCATAGGGTGGAAAGATAATACCTAGGTACAGAGATTTACAAGGCACAAAGGGTAGTCACCCACATGCCCCAAAGAAGCACCTTCTCAACTGAAACTGAAAATGGCCAAATGCCAGTTTTTTTTATCCTAGTAGACTTACATATATGTATTATATGTTGAGGTGGTTTTGTCATTTAGAAAGGATGGAGCAAAATAGGAAGACTTGTAGGGTGTATAAATCTGTATTGGAGGGAAGGAGGGGCAGAGGTCATCCTGGGAAAGGATGGAAGGAGGGGGGTAAAAGAGGTTTTGTGTGCAAGGGGGTTGGACATACAGCAGGCATGTGTGAATGTGTTAGATAGGAATGGGGGCAAATGGTTTTTGGGACTTGACAAGCTGTTGAAGTATGAGTAGGGTAATATTTTGTGAAGGGATTCAGGGAAAATCCTAGGTAGTAGGCTGGTAGACAGCAACTACCCAGGGAGGTAATATCGTCTTGCCAAGTAAGTGTAAAACAAACCTGTAATTGTTTTACATAGTAGGATTGTTGGCATCTTTATTGTCTCAAACACATGATATAACAGGTATACCTTGCTACTTCTACTTACACTTATGTCACACTGCACATTCATGTTCACACATTTACATTTACACACCCATCGGGTTTTCTTCTATTTTCTTAATAGTTCTTGTTCTTCCTTATCTCCATGGGAAAGTGGAAAAGATTTCTTCCTCTGTAAGCCATGTGTGTTGTAAGAGGCAACTAATATGCTGGAGGCATAGGGCTAGTAACCCCTTCTCCTGTATAAATTACTAAATTGAAAAAGAAAAACTTTTTTTTCTTTTTGGGTCACCTTGCCTCAGTAGGAGACGATCAGCATGTTGAAATGTTTTTTCTTTTCCAATACATTGGTCGTCTCCCACCAAGGCAGGGCAACCCAAAAAAGTAACACTTTTACCCTCATTCACAAAATATCACTGTCTTTGCAGAGATGCCTGGATATGACAGTTCAGATATCATCCCAAACAGTAAATATCCCAAGCCCCTTCTTTAAGGTGCAGGCTTTGTACTTTCCACCTCCAGGACTCAAGTCTGGCTAACCAGTTCCCTGAATCCCCTCGTAAAATGTTACCTTACTCAAAACAGCTTGTCAGGTCTCAAAAACCATTTGTCTCCATTCACTAACAAGCTCACACATGCCTGCTGGGTGTCCAAGCCCCTTGCACACAAAACCTCTTCTACCCCATCCCTCCATTCTTTCTTAGGATGACCCCTACCCTACCTTCCCTCCACTAGAGATTTATACATCCTCCAAGTTATCCTATTTTGCTCCGTATACATACATACAAGGAATTAAACCTCTCCTCCTTTCTTTGTATCAAACCTGATTGCCTCCCATTCCCCAGGTGTTCAACAACCCCTACTGGTTTATGGTTAAACTCATAAAACTTATGATGCACAGTAAACTTACCAAACAAGTTCTTCAGTAACTAGTGTTAGAACATCAGTAACTAGTATTACATCAGTAACTAGCATTACATTAGTAACTAACTAGCATTACATTAGTAACTAACTAGTGTTACAACAGTAACTAACTAGTGTTACAACTTCAGTAAAGAGTTGTGGTGTAAGGTGTACAAAAATGTCCTTCAGTACTTATATTTTATTCTACTTTCACAACAACACAGCTTCTAAGACATGATAGAGAAATAAATACATCTTGTAAGTTATTAACATGTGGTTCAATTTACACATTATACTGTAACTCCTTCATTTAAAATACAGCAGTGAAAAAAATATAGATGCACTATGTCCTCTGGATGTTTCTGAAGATTACTACTCATACCTTACTCTTAAATTATAGGTAGTTTAAGTCCATGTTATAGGTAGGTCAAGTCCACGAACTATTCCATTTTAACAATACGCAATCACAGGCCCTTGGTACAAAAATTTGGCAATCATGATACACCATTTATACTTTACAAACATTCTGGAAAAATATAAGACAAATTATCTCTGTTTCCATTAGGAAAATAAAAATTATGGATTTACTCACTGACCCTGCTTAATTGATATTCATATTTACAAGCAAATAACTATTATTCTGAATTTTTAAAGAAATTTATCAAACAAACCTTATCAGAGTTACTCTTGCATGTTAATTAAGGTTACTAACAAAGCAAAGTGAATAAACCATATTATCTATCATTAGCAATAAGTAATAATTGTAAGTAATAACTGGCATCAAACAGTACAAACAGGGCTTGTTTGGTCTACTGCTGTATGAAAGAAAAGAAGAACATGTAATTGGTAGAACACATTTTTTAAGAAAGAACAAAAATTTGTATTTTCCTTTATTCATTATTGCTACTGAATTCCTGGCTGTAATTTTTTGTGCCTTTTGTGACTTTGTGTATTGTCATGAAAAGCTGATAAAATATTTAAAACCAAACATGAAGTATAAATAATTATCTTTGATTTAAAAATACTGTAGGCCTATTTTTACTTAATGAAACATTATCTTTACCAGCAAGGAAGGTTTGTGTCGGGGCCCCTGAATATCATTATGTTACAAACAAGAAATAATACAACAAAATTCTGCTTAATACTATTCAAAATTGATCCTATACTTTCAAATTGTTGTCCCTGCAGCATAACACAGTAATGCTCAGTATATTTACTACTTTGATTTAAGATTTTGACTTGCACAAAAAAAAATATATATATATATAATAATTTGTAAGTTCAAGGTCATAAAAGCAAAAGGAGCTGCTTCTGAATTAAAAAGTAAAATTTAATATGTATGACATAAAAAGCTGAACAAAATAGTCAGTGTCAGCATGTATAAAAGCAGATGAAAAGTGCAAAATCTTACACTACAGTGCAGTCACAGCTCTTCCTACACAAGGCACAAGCCTTAGGACAGGGACAACTAGGCTACAAGGATAAAGGATTGAGGTAAACTCTTCTATATCCATGGGCATAACAGCTCAAGTCTGCAAGCTTAATCCTACTTTCAATGGGATGAAAATTTTCTGATTTGAAGTAATTAGCTATTTGACTTTGTGGGAGACAATCTCTAGCTCTAATGTGAATCAGCCCAGTCATGTGAATATGTTTTTGAAAGACCTGTATAGAGTTCACTTCCACCGAGGCTTCAACATAAAATGACCAGATCTGCACAAGCCATAAGGAGCATCCTACGAATACTACTTGCCAGCAGATTTGAACAAGTATATCCTGGACTAAAAATTTAAAAAGAAATAGTCTACAGGAATTGAGTAAGTAGACAGACTTAGACACAGACCATACTGATACTATAGGTGTGTGTGTGTGTGTGTGTGTGTATACAAGTATATGTGCATGAATGTATACATGTATCCCTTGGTGGGATACAGCCAGTTTGTTGAATTAATAATCAAATAAACTCACAAACAGCAATTTCAGAAATAGCAAAGAAAAGATAACCATTGGAGTAGAAGCTTTAGTTAGTGCAACACTCCTCTCTGAGTACAGCTTCAAGTCAGAGTACAAAACATCCTAATAAAAGTAGGTTCAGCATGGAGTCTTTTCTTGATTATTATCAGCATTAAGTATTTTGGATTCAGAAACAGTGATATGCATCACCTGAATAGTAGAACTCTCTCTCTCAAAAACTGAACTAGTGTTTTGTAAAATATTGATGACAAGAGAAACCACATCTGTCTTTTAACAATTATAACTTTAATACTCCAATAAATTAAAAGAACTATATTAACATCACATATTCCATATAAAACTACCAAGTACAGGTAATTACATATTTTGTTCTGGAAGAACCATTACATTAGCATATTAAAAATTAATACATGCTATGAAGCCTTTCAGAATCAAGCATTTTATAATGAGTGTGAGCAGGGTAATGTTTTGTGATGGGATTCAGGGAAACCGGTTACCCAGACTGAGTCCTGTGGGTGGGAAGTACAGTACCTGCTCTCTCAAGGAGGGGTTTGGGATATGTGCTGTTTAGGGGGACATTTAAACTGTCCTATCTGCAAGTCTCTGGCAAGACAGTGGTAGTGTGAATGATGGCAAGTTTTTTTTTCCAGGCCACCCTGCCTCAGTGGTAGACAGCATGTTTAAAAATATACAGTGGACCCACGAATTTAGTAGTGCCTTTTCTGTATGCAAAACTATTTTTATCTATAAAATGTATTGTCTGTTATTATTTTTGGGAGTCTGGAATGCTTTAATTGGATTTACATTATTTCCTATGGGAAATATTAACAAAACATACATTTTATAAATAAAAAAGTTTTGCATACAGAAAAGGCACTACTAAATTCGAGGATCCACTTGTATATTTATTTATTTCAATACACTGGGCATCTCCTACCGAGGTAAGGTGACAAAAAAAAAAAAAAAAAAAAAAAAAAAAATTGTTCACTCCATCACAGTCTTACCAGAGGCACACCAATACAACAATTCAGATGCTCCTCCAAATTGCAAAATTCCCCACCCCTCCTTCAGAGCACAGGCACTGTACTTTCCACCTCCAGAACTTATGTCAAGCTAACCAGTTTTCCTGAATCTCTTTACAAAATATTATCTTGCTCCTCCAACAGCTTGTCAAGTCCCAAAAACCATTTGCTTCTAAGCACTCCTAACACAATATGTATGGGAAAGGTGTGTGTGTGTGTGTGTGTGTGTGTGTGTGTGTGTGTTGTGTGTGGTGTGTTGTGTGTGTGTCTGGTGTGTGTCTGTGTGTGTGGTGTGTGTGTGTGTGTGTCTGTGTGTGTGTGTCTGTGTGTGTGTGTGTGTGTGTGTGTGTGTGTGTGTGTGTGTGTGTGTGTGTGTGTTGTGTGTCTGTGTGTGTGTGTGTGTGGTGTGTGTGTGTGTGTGTGTGTGTGTGTGTGTGTGTGTGTGTGTCTGTGTGTGTGTGGTGTGCTGTGTGTGTGTGTCTGTGTGTGTGTGTCTGTGTGTGTGTCTGGTGTGTTGTCTGTGTGTGTGTTGTGTGTGTCGTGTGTGTGTGTGTGTTGTGTTGTGTGTGTGTGTGTGTGTGTGTGTCTTGTGTGTGTGTGTCTGTGTGTGGTTGTGTGTGTGTCTGTGTGTGTGTCTGTTGTGTGTGTGTGTGTCTGTGTGTGTGTGTGTGTGTGTGTGTGTGTGTGTGTGTGTGTGTGTGTCTGTGTGTGTGTCTGTGTGTGTCTGTGTTGTGTGTGTGTTGTGTGTGTGTGTGTGTGGTCTGTGTGTGTTGTGTGTGTGTGCTGTGTGTGTGTGCTGGGTGTGTGTCTGTGTGTGTGTCTGTGTGTGTGTCTGTGTGTGTGTGTCTGTGTGTGTGTCTGTGTGTGTGTCTGTGTGTGTGTGTCTGTGTGTGTGTGTCTGTGTGTGTGTGTCTGTGTGTGTGTGTGTGGTGTGTGTGGTGTGTGTGTGTGTGTGTGTGTGTGTTGTTGTGTGTGTGCTAGTGTGTGTGTGTGTGGTGGTGTTGTCTGTGTGTGTGTGTGTGTGTGTCTGTGTGTGTGTTGTGTGTTGTGTCTGTGTGTGTGTCTGTGTGTGTGTTGTGTGTGTGATCTTGTTGTGGTCGTGTGTGTGTGAGTCTGTGTGTGGTCTGTGTGTGATTACTGTTGTGATGTCTGTTTGGTTGGTCTGTGATAGCTGTTGAGTTGTTGCTGTGTGAGTGTGTGCATGCAGTTTGAGGAAGTGATGTGGTCTGTGTGAATGTTGTGTCTGTTGTGTCATCTGTGTGGTGTGCTGGCGTGCATATTGAGTCCATTGTGGAATTAATCAACGTTCATGCTGTAACAGCTTTCCACACGCTTGAGGTTATTTAATACCACTTGGTGGATTAATCAAATTCATGAAATATGCCACTGTGTTATTATAAATCACTTGTATTACTTATAATAATACATGTGATGTATCTTAGTTCTAATGTTAGTGGTACATGACTTCAATTAGAAGTAGAAAGGTCAGGCCACTGCCAAGTTTTAGGAAGGGCAGAGATGTGGTCATATTAAAATCAATACGTCTGTCACTGATAACTTTCTTCATATCTTTGGGTTCTGGGTACACAGATGCAATACCTGAAAGAAAAAAGTAAACCAAATCTTAGAATAAATAAGCTGTATCCAGAAAACTCTTTAAAAACATCAGAAAAGAATTTTTAATAACCTTTATTAATACATAAAATTTATGGAAAAAAAACACCCCACTTGACTTTAAAAAAAAAAACTGAAAACCCTTTAAAAGGGGAACATTTGTTGAACTGTCTTTTTAAAAACAGTTTTTGTCAGGTGGGAAACATTTTTTAAATTATTAACATGTACAATAAAAAATTTTAAACATGAAATTTGTGGGGCCACCAAAAATTTTAAAAAAAATGGTTCCTAGTAATTCTAGTCTTTAACTTTAAATTCTTTTTTTTTTAAACCAAAAAAAAAACTCTGGTCTGCCAAAGTGGGATACCCAAAAAAAAAAAAAAAAAAAAAAAAAAAAAAAAAAAAAAAAGGAAAATGCTTTCCCACCCAAAAATCACTTAATTGTTACCTGGCCGGAAGCAGTAACAAAAATTCTAAAAGCCCCTGAACTGCAATCCCCTTTCCTCTCCTTGAGGTCCCTGGCACTGTACTTCACACCCCAGGACTAAAATTGAGAAATTATGCCCCCGGAAATCCCCTTTAAAAAAGGTTACCCTTTTTCACACAAAAACAGTTTTTCAGCCCCAAAAAACCCCTTGCCTCTCCCCTTTTTCTAAGGGGCACCCCGCACAACCTGTTGGATTTTTAAACCCCCCTAACACTCAAAAACCTCCTTTACTTTCCCCTCCAAACCCCCTTTTGGATCCCCTTCCCCCTCTTTTTTTCACCCAAGATTTATGAAAACCCTTCTTTCATCTTTTTTTTGAACCATCCTCTCTAAATGTTCCAACTCCTCTAAAGCCCCTCCTTGGAAATTTTTGAATTAAACTTCTGATGCCCCCAACACCTTCTAATCAAAAACCCCCAAAGTCTCTAAAAAATTTTCAAAACCACACTGCTCCCCCACTGCTTCCGCTTTTTTCCTTGCTGAAAATTTTTTTAAAAATCCATACCTCACATTTTGTTACATTTTGGGGTACCAAAAAAATTTGGGGACAAAATTAAAGTTCTTTGGAGACAAGACACCCCAAATGACCCCCATCCATACTGTTTTCCCTTCCCCTTCCCTGTAAATTTTTAGGGTTTCACCTCAAACTTAATAGCCCATTCCCAAAACAAGTCCACTCCCAGATATTTTCTACACATTTACTTTTTTTATACTCCCTTCCTCCATTCTGACTTTAAAAATTTTTTTACTCCCTAGTTTTTTTTGTTATTTCCACCACCTTGCTTTTTTCTTTTTCATTTTTAAAAATTTTAATAAAAAAAAAAAGCGCTAACCCACAAGGACTTTACACCCGCAGGGCGGGAAGGGAAAGCGGGGGATCAGGGGGCAAAAGGGAGATGGTTTGAGAAAAAAGGTTTTTAGGGAATAACACGGGGTAGGGGATGGTGAAAAGGGAAAAAGGGCAGCAAGAGACCTGAACTAAAAGGGTGAGGGAGGCAAAAAGTATCTCAAGTTTTTGGGGATTTAAATCATTCTTTGGGTCAAGAAGTCAACGGGGAGAGCCCAGGTTTAAAAGGGAGGGGTCCATCAGCAAAAAGGAAAGGTAAAGAGAGAGGTAAAACGAAGAGGGACTTTGGAGGTAAACTGTGTGTCTTTTGAAGAGAGGGAAAGTCAAACGAAGGGGGTAATCGAACTGGAATTTGGCTTTGCTCACAGAGAGGAACAGGGGCCCCCATGAGATCCCCATGAGAAAGCAGTGTGGCCAAATGCGAAGGCGGGAGGGGAGGGTTTGCCCCCCAAAACCCGGAAATGAGGACAAGAAAAACGGCCGGGAACCTATGCTGGGTTTTAATAAAAATAATTTTTGTTCCCGAGCGAGTTAAACCAACGTTGTTCCCAAAAGGGGGGCGAAGGGGGTGGGTTTTATTGCAGAAAAATATCCAGAAAATTGGAAAAACCTCGATAGGAAATGGGTTTGGGCCCCATGTACTGCTGACCGCGGGCAGCAGGGGTCTGCCTGTTCATTGCCCTGTAAAGCAAACAGGGACCGGGGAAACCCCAAAAAAAAAAACAATTTTTTAAAATTTTTGGTAGAGTTAGGGCGTACCCAATTTTGGGAAAAGGGAAAACGGGGGGGATAATGAAATAAAATTTTTTTGGGCCTTTAAGAGCAAAAGGGAGTTTTTGAGAACTCCCAACAAATGAGGGACACGGGCATAAAATGCAAATACGAGTAAGGTCCCAAGAATGACAAACATTTCGCAGAAAAAAAATCCCTAGCTGAAGATAGAAAAATCCCCCCCGAAACAAACGTTTGGCCAAAAACACGGGCGGGCGAACCCGCCCACCCCTGAAGATTTTTTAGCCATCTGTGTACACACGGGGGCCATGGGGAAAATGGGAGGGGAAGGGATCAAGAAAAGAGAGGGGGGAACCCCAACCGTAGGCAGTGAGCTTTCGAGCAAAAAGGGGGGGGAGAAAGAACCAGGACCCCAAAGCTGGAACTTCCCAGGGGGGGGAGGGAAAAGTGAGATGCTAAAAAGAAAATTAAAAAGGGGGTAACTGAAGGGAAACATGATGAAGGGAGGCGAAGGAAAAGGGACGGAGCAAAAGGGCGGGGAACCAATAAAGAATGTCTTTCAATAACGGTGACCATTCTATAAATGGAAGGATTGGGAAAATCGTGGGGAGCGTAATTTGTACGAAGGCATTTGGGCCCTCACGGGTTTAGACCAAAGGGTGGAACATTCATTCTGTATGAGGCTGTTAAGGGGAGAGAGGGAGCAGGAAAAGGCCGCGGAAAAATCTGGTCACCATAAACGAGTTTCGATAAAACGAGGGTTTTAAAAGGTTTGGTAAGCAGAGTTCGGGCGATTTAGCTCCCCCGGAAAAAAAGGCCCGGGGTTTTTAAACCGGTTTTGCCCGGGTGTGACAAGTGCCCTTTAGAGGGTAATTTTGAGGTTTTTTCCCGGGAAAAAACCCACGGGCAAAGGAAGGCCTAGAAACCTTTACTGTATCAGTTCGGGGGAAAAACGGGGGGCCATAGAATACAAAGGATGATTTGGAGATAAAAGGCGTCTAGTTTTAAATTTTTTTGGGGATTTTGGTACTTTTAAAATTTAAAAACCCCCGCGGGTGGCCCAAGTGGAAAAAACGGGCGACCGTTTTGCTGGAGAGAAACTGCCAATAAGGTGGGGCAGTTTAGCGCCTGACAAGCCCAAAAGCGAATCCCTAAAAATAGGGGTGATTACCAAATTTGGGTGGAAAAACAGAGGCCCAAAAAATTTAAAACAAGGAGGGGAAAAAATGTTGTGTTTAGAAACATCCCAGGGACAAACCCTTTAGCTTTGACGAAGTACGGGGAAAGAACATTTGGAAAATGAAACCCGGAAAAAGTTGTCAGTTAAAAAGTTTTTAAGGAAGGGTGGTTTTGATTGCCCCGGAGGCCTAAAGGGGAAAGGGGCCCGGGCCAAAAATTATACCTCCAAAATTGGTCATATGCCTTTCAAGGAAAAAAAAATATGGGAATAACTGAGTGATTATTCGCAAAGGCATTACGAACATACATATCCAAGCGTAGTAAGGGGTCTATGGTAGAACGATCCTTACAAAAGCCATATTGACTAGAGGAGAGACTGTTGTGTGTCTCTAAATACCACATTAAACGTCGATTTACGAGACGTTCCATCACTTTGCAAACTGCACTATTATTATTATTATTATTATAATCAAAAAGAAGCGCTAAGCCACAAGGGCTATACAGCGCTGCAGGGTAGGGAAGGAAGCAAGGGAATTGGATGGCAGAAGGGAGGAGGGATGATCAGCAGGTTACAGAAAACAGCGGGGCAGGGGATAGTACGGGGGTAGAGGGTAGCAAGAGATTGAAGTAGAAAGGGCTGAAGGTATCAGAATTGTGAAGTCAGTCAGTCGTTGTCAAAAAGTCAATGAGAGAGTCCGGATGAAAGGTGGGTCCATCAGCGAGAAGGGAAGGTAAAGAGAGAGCAGCGGAGCGAAGACGACGACAGAGGTAAATTCTGCGTGCTCGTTGATAAAGTGGGCAGTCCAACAGAATGTGGCTGACTGATAATGGAGCTTGGCAATTCTCACAGAGAGGAGCAAGACGCCTCTCCATGAGATATCCATGAGTAAGACGAGTATGGCCAATGCGAAGACGGGAGAGAGTAGTCTCCCAACCTCGACACTGGTGATAAGAAGACGGCCAGTAACCTACACTCGGTTTAATAGACTGAAGCTTGTTGCCGAGCATAGAAAGACCAACGTTGTTGCCAAGGGGTATGAAGGTGGGAAGATATTGCAGCAAAATTAGTCCGTAAATGGAATACCTCTATAAGAAACTGGTAGGGTCATGTACTGCTGACCCGCGCAGCAGTGTCTGCCTGTTCATTGCCCTGTACGTCAACATGACCAGGGACCCAACAAAAAACAATATCTTTATGCTTGGTAAAGATGCGGCGTAGCCCAAAGTTGGATACGGAGGACTAAGGGGTGAGGTGTATCAAATTTTTGTATAGCCTGTAAAGCACTAAGGGAGTCTGAGACAACCACAAATGATGACACAGGCATAGATGCAATACGGATAAGTGCTGTAAGGATGGCATAAAAATTCAGCAGTAAAAATACTAGCCGAAGATAGTAAATGCCCTTGTACGACGCTGTCCGGAAACACTGCTGCGAATCCTACGCCGTCAGAAGACTTAGAGCCATCTGTGTACACAGCAATGGCATGAGAATGAGAGTGAAAGTGGTCAAGAAAAAGAGAGCGGGAAGCGACCGTAGACAGTTGGGCTTTTGAGCAAGGGAGGGAGAAAGAACAGACTCGAACAGCTGGAACTTCCCAGGGGGGTAGGGAAAAGTGAGATGCTACATGTACATAGAAAGGTGGTAGTTGAAGAGAAACAAGAGCGAATGAAGGCGAAGAGAGAAGGGACGGAGTAAACAGGGGGGGCGCACAAAATAAAGAATGTCTACTAATATCAGT